TGCCTTCACCCCACCTAAATTCTTTCTCCTAGCTCCCTCTCTTGTTGTTCCATCAATAGATGCTTACTGAGGACCTACCATGTGTGGGGTGGCTGCTCGATTAGACGTGTCCAAAACAGTTTCTGCTGTGCCTGGGGCTCTGCTGGGGGGACGTTCTGGCATGGCACAGAGCACGCAGCAAGTACACGTACTCTCAGCTGAGGAAATACCTTTTGTTCTGTGGGTCACTGCCTGAAAATCCCCTCTGAGTGTTCCAACACTGGCTTGGAGCTAGGAGGGAGACAGCTCCTTTGTGGAAAAAGTCGGGGAAGCTTTCTGGAGGGAGGAACATTTGGGGACGGGTGGCAGTTAATGTTCACAGCTGGCATGGATTGTTTCCAAGGGGTGTGCGCTAAGTTCCTGTATATGTTGCATGTTTCAGGCTTCACAGAGGTGAGGTGGGCACTGATAGTCTCCACATTTCACGCGTGAGGAAAAATGGCTTGGGAGATGAAGGGAGTTTCAGAGTCGGTAAGGGGAGGGCAGTGGGGATTCAGACCCTGCTCTGCCACCCAGCCTCCGAGGCGGGAGGAGGGGGCTTCAGAGCCGGACTGTGTGGGCTGGGCCAGGCCGTGCCTGGCTCTTCTCTGTCCCTCACTGTGCTGCACTTGTCCTTTTGTGCCCCTGCTTTCCTTTCTCACAGATGTCAAAGGTCACAGAGTTTGGAGAGATGGTGGTGGGGCGTCTGTGTTTGCCTACTGCCTTCAGAAGGCCTCAGGTGCTGGAGCCCTCTGCACTGTGGCCCCCCTCTCCATTTTGGTGGCCACCCCAGGGCCCCAGGCAGGGGCTGAGGGGCATGAAGTGGGCATGCTCCCTGTGCTGGCTTTGGTTTTGGCCCTCAGATCCATCGCTCTCTTCCCACGTCCGCTCTGTACTGCAGGGGAGTCAACCCTGAGGCTGCATTTCCTAGGCTCCCTTGTCAGCTGCCTTCTGGCTGCCTTCAGCCAATGGGAGCCAAAGCGGGTGGGAAAGGGGAGAAGCCAGGGTATTTCGCCCTCTCTCAGCATCTCGGGGAGAGTCTCTGGCAGCGACTGCGTCTCCTCTATGGCTCTGGCTCCCCTGGACGGCCTCTGCCTCTGAGGTCCCGGCTTCAGCAGGGAAACTCCACGGTAGTGGTAGTTCTAGCTCTGTGTGGGACAACGCTCACTGTGCCTTGGGTAACACCACCTCTCTCAGTTGTCCCGGCAGCCCCAGGGCTGGCAGCCAGCAGTGGTAGCAACTTCCTGCTCTTGCTGATGTCTGAATTGCATGACCTGTGTACGCAATTCCCTGAATTAAATTTTTGAAATACTTAGAGTGGTTTTTGTTTTCCTGACACACTCTCCCCCACCCCCATCCCCCCTCTTCCCCAAGCAAGGTGACCTAATAGGGTCCCTCTTCTTAGGCCATCTGCAGCAAGCCGCCCATGAATGGAAGAATGATATCATGGCGTCCTAATCCCTCTGAGAAGCAATTATGGAAACACTGTGGCTGCCTGCTTGACCAAACTCTTTCTCCGAAGATCCTTGTCTCTGCTTTATTCTGAAGATTCCCCACCCTCTACCCCCTGCCTCTGCCTCTGTAAAGGGAAGCAAGGCAGACATTTTGGCTGGGGCTCCTTCCAGCAGTTAGAATGCTTGGCTCAGAGCCTGGGGTGTCCTGACACGTTTGCTCAGTACCTGCTCTGTGTAAGCTGTGTGTTAGGTAACACAGAGAGGATCAGAGAAAAAACAGAGGAGGAAAGAAAGCCCCCTCCAGACCCCCAGATCTCACGGTCTCTCCCTCCTTCCCAGACTGTGATTTGATTTTGATTCAAATCTATCCTTTCTCAGACTCCTTCCTGGTGGTTCCCAAATGTCTGGAACTGGGCACCGTGGCTGCAAGTGCCCCCTAAAGAAACAGGCATTGTGGGGAAATGGAGGCCACGTTCCCCCAGAAAGAAAAGGCTGAGAGCAGTAACAGCGCAAGAGTGCACATTTCTGTGGAGCAACACCCTTGCCAAACGGCAATTTAAAGCCCTTTCAACTCATGTACCTAAAGAAGAAAATAATGAAACTCTTCTGTTGAGGATCACCTGGCTCCCCACATCCCCTCACTTAGGATGTTTTGTTCCCACTGGAGCATGTGATTGGAAAACAAAGGTAAATGAGAGCAATCTATTCCTGGATCATTTTTTTCCCCAGCAGGATTAAAGCTGCCTCAGCCATAAAGAGTTTACAAACTCTAAAGAAAGATAATAACTTCCCTTCTCATGGCCCGGTCATGGGGAGGTAATGCATGTTTCCAATCAGCTGAGAATGTAACTCAAATGGTAGGTTTTATTTTACTTTAATCCGCCTGCGAGTTCACGTTCAAGGTAAGAGGGACCATAGCCCTGCAAGGAGAGTACAGTTCATTAACTTGGGCATCTCCTCTTAAAGGTGGAGGAGCTGGGTTTGTTTACTCCTCTCCCCAAAGCCTCGCACGGGCTTCTGGGGCTGCTGTGGTGGCAAGTGACCACAGCCTGGAATACAGGTAGAGCTGGGGCAGCGAAGGGAGGCTGGAGGGTCTGATTCAGGGACCAGCTAACCAGATGGCCACATCAGCACCCCCAGACCCCATGGTTGTGGAAGTCGAGGAAGAAGAGGACACAGAAAGCCACGCTCACACAGTGGATCCACTGGAAGGCAGGTGTTCCAGCCTGCAGCCCGGGGGGTGTGGGGGCTGGGAGGTGGTGATGAAGTGTCCACACTGCATGGCGCTCTCTTGCTTCTGCTCATCAACTGCAGCCTGGCCGCTCAGAGGGCTGTTGTGGAAAGAATCAGTTCTCGGTTTCTGTGTCAGCTCTGTTTAATCACGGGGAGAACTTGAGTCAGCCCCTTGACTACGTCTTGCTTTATGCATTCATGAAGCAACTGCCCATTTGAGGGGAAAGGGAAATGCTTTCTTTATTGACCTACTGTGAAACCTTTTTTGTGTGTGTGTGTTTAGTTTTTATTAATCAAAATTTTTATGCATTTTTAAAATTATTTTATTGAGGTCATAATGGTTTATAACATTGTGTAATTTTAGCTGTACATTATTATTTATCAATTTCTGTATAGACTGCATTGTGCTCACCACCAATAGTCTAATTTTTATCCGTCACCATAATACGTGCCCCTTTACCCCTTTTGTCCATCCCCAGCCCCCTTCCCCTCTGGTAACCACTAATCTGTTCTCTTTATCCATGTGTTTGTTTATCTTCCACATATGAGTGAAATCATGCGGTATTTAAAGCCACTTTTTCTACAATGAAAATCACTCCTTCAAAGGAAACATTGCCTCTCCAATTTTTTCTTTGAAAATGCAGAGCCTCTGGCAGGGCGAAAGCTTAGCTTCCTGTAGTCCAGGGAATCTCTTTAAGAGAATGCTTTGCTCTGTGTGGGCGGAGTGTTCATTCAGAGAGGCAGTGTGTTCCTGGTGTATTTGGGAGAGGGGATCTGCGTGGCCCGGAATCAATCCAGCCAGCCCAATGCCTGACTGCTACTGCTTGAAGGCCCTCCCAAGGTCTCCTGGGGGCACCTAATGTACCTCTGTTTGGAGCAGGAAGTGCTGGCTGAGAGCTGTCTCTCGGTGACACGGGGCTCTGTCAAATCTGTCAACCTTCCTCAGCAGTCATCACACGGAATTCCAAAAACCCAGAGTTCTGGTTGAGTTCTGGCTGCAGAGGCTGAAGAACTAGGCAGAAGCACCAGCCTTGTTCTGCACCAGCCTTGTTCTGCCCGAGCCAGAGGGTCTGGGCTGCCCCCACTAGGACCTAGAGCAGTTGAGAGACATTCGCCTTTACTACTGTCTGCCCACGGCTTCGTGGCCTCCTTGCCCCAGCTGGCTGGCCTGCTTCTCGTCCCGCCGCTGCAGGCCTTGGCCCTGCTCTCGACTGCGCTGGGAAGCCTGGCTCATGCACAGCCAAGGCGAGTGCTTCCCTGACCATACCCGTTTGTCTGTCCATCTGTCCTCTGCCCAGCTCTGTAATGGCCATCGGGAACACAACAGTGAACAATCCGCGGTCTTGTCTGCAAGGAGCTTGACGTCTCTTGGGGAGACAGATGCAGAAACTGTGGTTGCAGCATGCCCGTGTCCCGCGTGGGACTGCCCATGCTCAGCTGTGGCCCTCTTTGCTCTAGGCTGTGGCCAAGATTGCACTGTTGCATCTGCCGTTAGAACCTCACGGTGTATTTTTGGGGCATTCTCGTGTCTCCCTCAACACAGTGCTTGAGGGAATGCAGTGTCTTATTTACAGACAGGTTGGAAAGACTCCTACTCTTGGGAAAGCAGAGGAATGTGAGGGTCAACATGCCTTAAAGGCACAGGGGATGATTTCTAGATTTCCAGACATTGTCTCAGAGAGTTGTAGTGCTCTGGGGTACGCCTGAATGTAATTGATGTAGCTCTCTGTAGCAGATGTGTGTGCGTGTATGTGTGTGTGTGTGTGGGTGTAAGCTGAGCCCATGTGTCCACGTGCATTCCGTTCATTCTCTTGAATTGGACGATGAAAGCTAACCCTATCGAGCATTTACTGCCTAGGTGCTTTAGGTGCGGTGCCTCATTTTACCTTCACAAAGCTGTCATCTTTCCCATTTTTCAGAAGAAGAAACTGAAGCAAAGAGAGATTCAGTCACTTGTCCAAGATGACAGGACTAGTGAGTAGTAGAGCAAGAATTCTAGGGCCGGCCCCGTGGCTTGGCGGTTGAGTGCGTGCGCTCCGCTGCCGGCGGCCCGGGTTCGGATCCCGGGTGCGCACCGAGGCACCACTCCTCCAGCCATGCTGGGGCCGCGTCCCACATGCAGCAACTAGAAGGATGTGCAGCTATGACAGACAGCTATGTACTGGGGCTTTGGGGGAAAAATAAATAAATAAAATCTTTAAAAAAAAAAAAAAAAAAGAATTCTAACCCAGGCAGCGCTCTGACTGCAGAGCCCCAACGTGGAGCCACCACAGCACCCATGTGTGGTGTGTGTGTGCATGTGCACACCCTCAACCACGTGGGCTGCCCTGTGCTTGCGAGCTGAGAGAACACAGAGGACATTGTTGGGAGGGACTCACTGACCTGCTCAGGCTATCTGTGCAGGCAGAGGAAGATGGTAAGCGTGTAGACCAGAGCCCTGAAGCCAACCTGGTCATTCCAACCGCTAGGTGAGAATGGGGGTGGGTGTCAGGGATCTGGTGATTTAAATGGTTCTCTACTCGAGAAAAATGGAATCTAGCATAGAGTGGAGATTTGCTGTCTTGAAACTTGGTGTGAGGCAAGGGGTGAGTTTCCCTAGAAGATTACATGAACCGATAGAGCCTGATAAAACAAGCTAGCTGTGTCTTGGCTCCCTCCTGTCTTGTCTCTGGCCTGTCATCCTTCAACCTGCTGTGCATTTCATCCTGGGTCCCGGAGGGCCTCACAAACACTTCACCCCTAGTTGCAGACTCCCCCATGGAGAAGGCAGACTGCTCCCTCTCGTAGACTCCCTGCTGGGGTGGTTTTGCTTCTTCATGGAAGGGAGAGGACCCTCCCTCACTCAGTGGCAAAGGCTCCCTGGTGGAGTAGGGCAGCTGTACCCTGGGACTCTGGGGGACCACCAGCCAGCTACCTCTCTTCAGCCTTCGATATTCAGGTGCCGTCCTCCAGGCTGTGGCTTCTCAGTTCTTATGTGGGCTGCTGCTCCCTAATGCATAGTTTGGGGAGCACTTTGGTCTGTGGGGGGATCATTGCTGCATTTAGAATCTGTGTATAAAGAATAAGGGCAGTTCCAAAACAGGGGGCTTCATCACATCAAGCATGGCTTCTTTGGCTCACCAGCCCTGATCTTGTCTCCCATTCTACAAACCCAATATTGGGCCTTCCGGAGCAAGGAACAGGTTAAAACCTGCTCCTGACTGCCCACCAGGTCCACGGCTAAGACAAAATCCTTCTTCAGGGAATCAAAGAGTGCAGATGAGCCCTTGGGCTCTCCAGCCAGTCTGCCAGGCTTCCAACCTTCTCTAGGTCCATGTATGTGTCCAAGGTGAGCCCTTGGGTCTGCGCCTATTAGGTTCCCTCTCTCAAGTCTCATAACAGTAGCTAGCCCTTATTTAGTGCCTGCTGTGTGCTTGGTCCTGCACCAAGCACTTTACACGTGCCATTCCTAAGGCCCTCCCAACAGCTCCAAAGGGAGGTACTGTTAGCTTACCCACTTTCCAAAGGGAGAAATGGAGACGAATGCAGGCTGAGTCACCTGCCCAAGAACACACAGCTAGCGAGTGGCATGATGTTGGGCAAGATACTTATGCTTTCTGAGCCTCAGTTTCCTCCTCTGCACACTGGGGTTCATACCATTGTCTATCTGGGTGTGGTGAGGATTCAACAGGGCAATGCACACAGCACCTAGCAGGGCACTGAACACATGGGAAGCACTCATCAGACATGGGCACTTAATAGGAGAGCTCCTGTTCCCCAAACTTGAAGAGAGAAAGCACAATGTCTAAAGCACTGATCACAGTGGTGATCAAATAATTAAGCAATTAGCTCTTGAATGCTTATTTTTTCTGAGTCCATGTAAGCTCCCTGAGGGCAGGGACTTTGTCAGCCTTGTTCACTGAGGGTTCCTGGGGCTTTGCACAGTATCTGGTGCAAGGTGGGTGCTCGGTGAGAGTTTGTTGAATGACTGAGTGAAGGACTGCTTTGGAGGCCCTTGGGGCCATTCACAGCATTGGACAGCCCCTACCCCTTGCAGCCCTTGTGCTCCACTGCCTCGTGGCTGTGATCTGAGTGTACTTGCCTCATTCCCTACTGGAAGGGAAGCTTCTAGGGCAGGCCTGAGTCTTGCCCACTGGTGTCTTCCCCATGGAGTAGATGCTCAGGGCCTGGTAGTGCAGCTGAACCTCCTTGTAGCCTGCTCTGGGTGCAAAAGGGTCTTTCTTCTTGGAAAGGAAGTGGAGAGTGTTGAAATGTTGTTGGAGGTGGTCACAGACCTCAGGATGTGAGGCAGCCAGTGGGCAGCACTCTGGCCTCAGTGTCCCTGGTATCCTAGAGCGGGGTCTAGGTTGATGGTGACCATCTGGGTTTGTAGGTCCCTCCCGTTATTACACAACCAAACGTTGTTTCTAAACTACAATGCCAACCCCCCACAGCCCCCAGGATCTGCCCCCCAAATGCCCCCAGGATGGCATGGAGAGTGGCTGCTTGTGCTCTGTTCCCCTGTTCACTGAGAAAATTATCCCACCCTTGCCTGCCTGGCCCCCTCCTAGACCCTTATTTGGAACGACCACCTCACCCTATGGTGATCCACCATATGGTGGTATATGATCCACTCTGAGTGAAAGAACTGCTGGGCTGAATTCAAACACAACCTCTACCCCACTCTCTCGTAGCATTAGTCCTGAAAGAGCCCATTGCTCTGGGTAGCCACCTTTCCCTGAAGACCTTTGCCCTCTGGTCAGCCGAGGCTTTGATCCAGAAATAACAGAGAGGGGAGGAGTGTGAGGATGAGGAGGATGACAGTGACGATGAATTTCTAGGCAGGCCCAGCCCCCAGGCTCCCCATCCCCAGCCAGCCCTGAGCTTTGCCGGCGTCCTTTCCGGAAACGTGAGCCCCACCTTTCCAATTTCCTCTTGTACCTCCCCTATATTTCCCACCCCAGCTCTGCATGACCACGTGGCACGCATGCAGCCCATCTGGGGATCAGGGAATCCTATTGGGCATGCCAGCTTAATGAAATACTTGCAGTTTATTAAACACAGGCTTCCCTAAGCCCCCAGTGCCTGTGGGTATTTGAAAGCCGAAGGTAACCTCGAGCTACCACAAACGTAATTGTTACATGTGTCTGTGCATTCCTGGGACAACCGCAATCTCCAGCTCTTAAGCAGCACACAAAATTAGCTACATAAAGTAACTCCTAGTCAGACAAGAGGAGGAAACGTGGGGAAAGGCTGAGAGAGGCTCCGAGAACCCCGCAGGGCCCCTAAAAGTGTATGAAGTTCCTGTTACCTTGCATAACTGTAACCATGGAGTGCGCTCCCCCCCAACCCCAGCCTGTTCATGTTTGCAGAATTGGTTCATTATTAGCCACGCTGGCCTCGCCTGTCAGCCTCACATGATGTAGCTCGAATATTTCCAGTCCTGTTTCAGCTGGCGCTTGCTCTCAGGGGCCGGCAGGGCTAGCAGAGCATGCCGTCTGGTGGCTCCCTCTGGAGCTGTATTTCTGTTCCTCCTCCAGGGCTTGGCTGGGGAGGGCTGTCCCGAGTCTGAGAAGGGTCGTGGAGAAACCCCAGGTGACCTGGAGCTTGCTGTCCTGAACCTGGGGGAGGCTGCTCCTGGGGGATGCTCTCCCATTCATCCGTCTCCTCGGCTTGGGGCCTGTAAATCAGGGGCAAGGGGCTGAGATGGAAGCAGCAGACAAAGGCCTCCAGGGACATGCCTCCCTCTACGTGGACCACCATCTGGATGCCGGAGAAGGAGACCCTGTTGACGGCGCCCAGGGGGACCTGCTCCAGGAACCTCAGCGTCAGCCCGTTGACCCACACACAGCCCCTGCGGCTCAGGGCCTTGAGGCAGAAGACCAGCAGAGAGCTGCCCTTCTCCCGGTAGGGCTCCAGGGACAGGTGTCGGCGGGAGAGGGTGGGGAGCTGCAGCCGGAGGTGGGCATCCTGGCCTCGCCCCACCAGCAGCGGGCTTATGTCATGCTGCAGCTGCGGTGGGATGTTGGCGAAGACAGCGGGGCCCTGCGTGGGGTGGTACAGGCTCACCCGCAGGACCGTGAGGGGCTTGTCCATGGACAGGAGCCTGGGAAGGAGGGAACACAGACACACAGGTGTGGTTAGAGCTAGGCACACCTCTGACTCCCTGAGTCCAGACACACTTGCCCATCTCAGGGATCATGGACCACCTCCAGCCAAACTGAGCCGAGCACTGACTGTAGATGTGGTCATTCTGCTTAAGCCAGGGTGAAGCCAAGGCTGGAACTGGTGTGGAAGATCAGGTCCACTGGTTCTAGCCCCAGCTTCATCACAGTGACACTCAGTGAGTGGGACATGCCACCCACCCTCTCTGAATTTTAGTTACCTTTCCTGTAATATAGATATGTCTGTCCTTGTCTGTGCAAAGAATAAGGCATACCAGCTTTTGGGGTGGGGTTTTGGTGGCCTATTGTCATTTGGGGACAATCTGGCCCTGCTTCATGGAAAGAGAAGGACAGACAGACAGCATACACCATCCTTGTATCGGATAGTCACACAACAGACCCTTTCTGAGCCTCCCTCTGAGCCAGGCACTGACCAGCTGCTGGGGATAAGCAGATGCAACAGGAAAACAAGCCCTCGTTCTCCAGGGCACCCAATTGGCGGAGGAGACAGCTGCCTCTAGCATCAGGTGTTATGGAGGGACACAGAAGAGGGAAGCCCAGCCTGTCCCTGAAGATCAGAAAGGCTGCCTGGAGACCCAGAAGAAGAACAAAAATAGCTAGCACATTCCAAGAGCTTCCTATGGGCCTGGCACCATGCCAAGTGGTTTATGGGCATGAATGCCCTGAGCATACCATCTCTGTCTGGGGGAAAAGATGGGTCCTGATGAAGGAGGTAGAGGGTGCTGAGATCTCACTCAGGGACTAACAGGGGCTCCAGTGTGACACGCACGCACCTTTTGTCCCAGCAACTACATCAACAATTTGTCCTTTAGAATCTCATTTGCACGTGTGGGAAGGCTACTTAGAACAGTCAGCTTTGTTCCGTGGATTTGAGGAACATAAACTCTCTGCAACATCCACCAACCCCATGTGGCCCAGGACGTGCCACCACCTTCTACAGGAACAACCTTCAACAGAGCTGAGTGGATTTGAATAACTAATTACAGTCATGTGCCGCATAATGATGTTTTGGTCAAAAATGGACGGCATATATGACTGTGGTCCCATAAGATTATAATGGAGCTACTCTAGAAGAAGGCATTGCTGTCACAGGAGACGACAGCTCCGTGCGTGTTATTGTCCCTGAAGACCTTCCACTGGGACGAAGTGTGGAGGTGATATTGATGATCCTGACCCTGTGTAGGCCTAGTCTAATGCATATGTTTGTGTCTTAGTTTTTAACAAAAAAGTTTAAAAAGTAAAAAAAAATTAAAAATTTTAAAAATAGAAAAAAGCTTATAGAATAAGGATATAAAGAAAGAAAATATTTTGCACAGCCGTACAATGTGTTTATGTTGTAAGCTAAGTGTTATTACAAGAGTCAAAAAGTTAATACAAAGTTTACAAAGTAAAAAGTTGCAGGAAACTAATGTTATTTATTATTGAAGAAAGACAAATTTTTTTTTTTTTTTTTGTGAGGAGATCAGCCCTGTGCTAACATCCGCCAATCCTGAGGAAGGATTTTTTGCTGAGGAAGATGGCCCTGGGCTAACATCTGTGCCCATCTTCCTCCACTTTATATGGGACGCTGCCACAGCATGGCTTGCCAAGCAGTGTGTCGGTGCGCGCCCGGGATCCGAACCAGCGAACCCCGGGCCGCCGCAGCGGAGCGCGCGCACTTAACCGCTTGCACCACCGGGCCGGCCCCAAGAAAGACAAATTTTTTAAAACAAATGTAGTGTAGCCTAAGTGTACAGTGTGTATAAAGTCTACAGTAGTGTCCAGTAATGTCCCAGGCCTTCACACTCACTCACCACTCACTCACAGATTCACCCAGAGCAGCCTCCAGTCCTGCAAGCTCCAATCGTGGTAAGCGCCCTGTACAGGTGTACCATTTTTTATTCTTTATACTATATTTTTGCTGTATCTTTTCTATGTTTAAATATGTTTAGATACATAAATACGATTGTGTTACAATTGCCGTATTGCAGTATTCAGTACAGTAACATGCTGTAAAGGTTTGTAGCCTCGGAGCAATAGACTATACCATATAGCCCAGGTGTGTAGTAGGCTATACTGTCTAGGTTTGTGGGAGTACACTCTATAATGTTCGTACAATGACAAAATCTCCTAACAACGCATTTCCCAGAACATATCCCCATCGTTAAGTGATGCATGGCTGTACGCACTTTCCCAGCATCAGGCTTTTGCTTACCCTATCTTCCCTACTGAGAATGCATCCTCCATCCCAAACTCTGTGTCCAAATACTGCTCATCTTTAAAGGCCTGGTTTGAATGTGACCTCATCTAAGAAGCTCTTTTCCTTTCTCTGCCCTCTGACCCCCACAACAGGGAGACTCCCCCCTAGGGCACCTGGCCAACCCCCATTCAGTCCATCTTCACATTACATGGTCCTTTCCCTGTCTTCCCTGAGCTCCTCTCCCGCCTCCTGAGGCCTCCTAAGGGCAGGGTGTGGTCTGAGTTGCCACACTGCCCTGTGTCCCACTGCCCAGGCCCTCCGTCCTTCCTGACTTTTGGATGAAGTAGGCTAGTTGTGAGGACCTTCCAGTGTGATAGTGAGGAATGGGCCCCCCAGGACACCCCCTTTTCCCTAATGCACAGACACACGCATGCCTCCCTCCCCATCCCCCTTCTGGCCCCAGCCTGCAGAGAGCCTCTTCCTGAGGTGTGTGATATAAGCTGGGCCCAGGACAGCTGGGCCAGGCATCCAAGGCTTCAGGCCTGGCCAGAAACTCAGAGTTCACTCCTAGGAACCAATCCCATGGCTCAGGGACCCTAAGAGAATCCCTCAGAAAGAAGGGTTCACCACTGCTTGTGTGACCTTACTCTCTGCTCTGCTGAGCACTCCAGAGCTGACAGAGACCCCTGCCAGAGTGGAGCCTCTGAAGAGGCCGTCTTGTTTCTCCAGGACCCCAGCTGTTC